AAACTGGAAGATATCGAGCTTTTAGAAGGGGAACCCCCTATAATTACAGAAGGGGCACCTACTGCAACAGCACCTTCTAGGCCTATACTTACGGCAATAGCACCTCCAAAGCTTACTAATATCGAAGTACTACTTCCGCAGGCCACTAAGCTACAGAAGGAGGAATTCGAAGTGGTAAATAACGATACTATAGATACCACTGCTCTAGTAAATTATTTCATCAACCAGGCTACTACTACTATTACTTACAGCACTGCTTCTATTAGCACAGAACCTAAGACCTTTAAACAGGCCCTAAAGCACCCACTAAAGGACCAGTAGCTACAGGCTTCCTTTAGTAAACTATAGCAGCTACTAAATTCCAAAACCTTCTACTTCATTAACCGCTCTCAGGCTCCAAAAAAGCCAATTACTAGCCGTTAGGTCTATAAGGCTAAAAAGGACTCACAGGGCTAAATTACTAAATTTAAAGCCCGGCTAGTAGTCAGAGGCTTCCAATAGGGGCCCGGAACCGACTTTACCGAGACCTTTGCAGCCACTATAGCGCTACCTACCTAGCGGGTTTTACTAGCTATTGCAGCTAAAAAAGACCTAGAAATTGAGCAAATCGATTTCGTTAGGGCCTTTCTTAACGCTAGGGTGGACTCCGATATATATATAGAAGTCCCTAAAAGCCTATACGAATATAGCCTTAATAGCCAAACCGCTATAGACCTTCTAAAACAACACTGCTAGGACCCTTCGAAGGACCAAATCATAGTACTAAAAAGGTCCCTATACGGCCTAAAATAGGCCCCCCACCTGTGGCAACAAAAGGTTACGGCACTAGCCAAAACCCTAAACTATAGTCCATTAGTTTCAGATTCGGCTACCTACTATAACCCTCAGAAAAGCATCTTTATAGTAAGCCACGTCGACGACTGCTTACTAATTGGACCCTCTATTATAAACATTCAGGCTCTAAAGCTATAGTTAGCTCAGGCCTACGATATAGAGGACTTAGGCCCTACTAAGTTCTTTCTCGGGGTCCAAATTAAAAGAAATAGGCGTAAAAGGCTACTTTGGCTCCACCAAAAGGCCTATATCCAAGAGGCTGTCAAGCACTTCGAAGTTAGCACTCACGCACCCGCCTTACCGCTCTCTCCAGGCCTTACAGGCCCCGAAACTCCCTCTAATCCACTAAACAAGGCCGACACTAAGCTATATCAGAGCCTACTAGGCACTACTACCTACCCGATAACCCAAACCCGGGCCGATATTGCCCACTCCGTTCAGTGGCTTTCACGGCACTTACAAACACCTAAGGTAGCCCACCTAAAAACAGCTAAAAAGCTGCTAAGTTACCTATATAGCACGATGGACCTAGCTATATAATTAGGAGGTACGGGTAGTATTAAGCCTATAGGCTATACCGATAGCGATTTCGCTAGCTGTAAAACTACTGCTCGGTCTACTTACGGCTACTTATTTTTAGTAGGAGGTAGCCCTATAAACTAGAAATTTAAACGAGCGCCTACGGTTACCTACAGCACCCTCGAGGCCGAATATATAGCCTTAATCGAAGGTAACCGGGAAGCCCTGTGGCTTAGAGGGCTATACAGTGAAATTCAGTGCTCTCTAAAGAACCCTACCCCCCTAAGGTGCGATAACTAAAGTACTATAGAGATAGCCCACAACCCGAAGCACCATAACCGTACCAAGCACATACTCCTTAAATTTCAGGGCGTTAGGGAGAGCGTTACAGAAGGAAATATCACTATATCCTTCGTACCTATAGAGGATATAGCAGCCGACGGCCTAACAAAGGCCCTACCAGCACCCAAGTTCCAGCGCTTTTTAGAGCTAATGAACTACCGGAAGCATAGTACTTATAAGGGCCCTACGGCCTAGTAAGTAGGCACTTAGCACTCTTACAGAAGGGGTGTTAATGTGTGGGTATTACTAAGTGCCCTACTTACTGCCCTATAGATTAATATTACAGTGGGCAGTACTACTATAAGCAGTAATGGAACTTCCCGGCTTGGATCCCTTTAGAATGTTCTTTACAAGGGACCCTTAAAGGCTTACAGGGCTACTATAGCCTGAGGCTTAGTTAATGGATACTAGAACCTTCCAAAGTAGCTACAGGCTTACGTAGTAAGTCGCTATAATAATATAATTTATAGGGTACCTCTGCTACCGAAGGTTCTATAGATTTCCGTGAGTCTACACTAGACCCACCTAAGCCCACCAAATACCCCAAAGTGGTATAGGGGCTTCCAGGGCCTACAGGACCCATAGTAAGCTTACGAAGGCCTATATATAGACCTCTCCTCTCTCCTATAGAATAGTTTTCTTTCTTTCCTTAAGGGCAAAAGCTTAAGGCTAAGGCTAAAGGCCAAAGCTAAGGGTAATAAAGGCAATTTTTATTCTTTATACCTCACTGTATTACAGTGCTTTACCTTCCTTCGGCACTGCCGTCGTATCCTCCCGCTTCCGCTTGCGCACTGCTGTATTTTACAGCAACCCTGTATAGGTTCTATATTATAGGCCTATCAGGGCTTACCAGCTAACAATAATATATACGGCTTTAAAGTTTTTAGAGGTATAAATTTAATTTTAATTAAAATCCTTTTTTAATAAAGTTTTAATCGTATAAACTAATTAATTTTTAAATAAATATTTAAAATAGCTTTCGTCCTTACTATCCGTAATTCGTATAAGATTATTAATATTAATTAGCCCTATATTAAGAGGCTAATAAATAATTTTTATATTAATATTAATATATATTTTATTCGTATAATAATACTTTTCTTTATAAATATATAGGAAATATAATAAGTAATTTCGGCTCTACTATCGGCCGATATCGAATATATTTTTAGTAAAATAAAGGGGGCTAAAGTATTAGCTCGTCCGAACTACTTAAATATAGTTTTAATCTAAAGCCGTAATTTAGAAATTACTTTTTTTTATATTACTTATATTAATAAACCTAATAGGGGGCCCTTTAAGGATTATTATACGACGGATAAGTATTAAAGTAGTGTTTATAATAACTATAAGTAAAAGGATTATAAGAGTAAATATAACTTTTATACCGCTAAGTAAAACGGTATTAAAGTTAAGGAAGAGAGTAAAGAAAATAAAAGGTTACGGGAGCGATTAAGGAGCTTATAGTTATTAATAATTCCAATAATTAAATATATCGTACGATAATAAAAATTTAATATATATTTTTTATTTTTATTTTTATTTTTATTTTTATTTTTATTTTTTAAAATTAATTATATAAATAACTTTTATTATCGGCTTTAATATTTCCTATATACTAATAACTTTAATAAAAATAAATTTATAATATAATATTATAATTTATATTATATTATATAGCGTAATAAAGTAATTTTAATAATGCTTTTTT